AGTCATATCCTGTGGAGATAAGCGTATGGTTCAGTTCTCATCGCCCAGCGTGGGAGCGGAAATGCCGAGATTCCTAGAAAGCGGCGGTTAAACCGAGCTGCTCTCAAAGCAAGGTCGGTTAAAACAAACTGCATTATTTTACGATCGAAGGCGGATAATCCGAGTATCGGTTAATACGAGGTCGGTTAAGAGGGGGTCTACTGTACAGGGTTAGGCAAAAGTCTGGAACCCCCCAGTTAACTTTTTAACGCGTTGCAGTTGGAAAACCAAACTCGGCACATATTTACAACATAATAAATTGCACTTTTTCATCATAGTTACAACTTTGCCCTAGCCCCCAAAATTGGGTATTTTGGGGACAGCTCCAAATTTTCAAATGCAAACACCTATCATGAGACCCCTCATTTTAAAGGATTACAAAGGTATGCTGAATTTAGTTTTCCTGCTATAACCTGTTAAAAAGTTAATAGGGGATATTTCAAAATGACTGCCATTTTGATTAGGGGTGCGATATTGACCTCTAGTTTGTGCCATTTAATTTGTCTTGAGAAACCCTTTAAAATGAGGGGTCACATGGTAGGTGTTTATATTTGAAAATTAGGGGCTGTCCACAAAATACCCCATTTTGGGGGCCGGGTACAAGTTCTAACATTAATGAAAAAGTGTCTTTTTTTGTTGTAAACATGTGCCAAGTTTGGGTTTCCCACTGCCACATGTTATAAAGTTATCTGGGGATGTCCAGACTTTATCTTGCTTGCTAATCTTAAATTAAAATGGCTGCCATTTTGATTAGGGGTGCGATATTGACCTTTGGTTTGCGCCATTCAATTTCTCTTGATAAACCCTTTAAAATGAGGGGTCTCATGATAGGTGTACATTTGAAAATTTGGGGCTGCTCCCAAAATACCACATTTTGGGGGCTGGGGCAAAGTTATAACTTTGATGAAAAAGTGCAATTTCTTATGTTGTAAATATGTGCCAAGTTTTGTTTTCCTACTGCAACGCATTAAATACCCCCGCCGCAGAAAACCTGCAGACTAAGCGAATTTCCAATTGACTGATTTGATTTACACTGAAATGTCTACTTAAAAATATAACATTTATTCCCGATTTAAATAGAATTAGTTTAACAAGTACTTAGGTTTGCTGCATCAGGGAGGGTAAAACTGTTTTTTTTGTAAAATGTTAATAGTTAGTAAGAAATAAAAACGTTTTCCAAATTTGATCAAAATATGTTCATAAACAAGCAAACTACAACAGTTTACTTATTCTCCATAAGAATAACATGGGAATTTTAAATTTACAATTTTTTTGAATTTTCTCCGTAACCGTTAGGCGCATAATAACGCTTCAATATACTAAATTATTTGTTTTTTTAAGCTCTACAAAATGGTTTGGAAAGAAATTGCTAAATTTTATGTTTTTTGGGTCAAAAATGGGAAAACCCTATTTTTACCCCATAAAACCCCCCGTAAACCCCCGTTCCCATGGTCCGATCATGCTGGATCGCGAACTCGTTAGAATACCACAAAATCCAAATTTCATCAAAATCGAATCATTTTTGCTCGAGTTATCGTGCTAACGGACACATATATATATATGAATTTGAACGGATGGTGTTTTTGGCCTCTAGGGACCTCAAAACAAAAAAAAAATCGGTCCCGCGTCCAGGTCTTACCATGAGTACTACGGTAATAGCTTATTCCCTATATGGGAAATTCGCTAAAAGTTATCTGGGGGTTCCAGACTTTTGCCTAACCCTGTATGTTTGCTGCCTTTAGCAGAGTTAAACCTATGGAGTGATTCAAATTATTTATTGAAAATAACTTAAAAAAAAAACAAACAAAGACAAACAACAAACTGTTTTTTACACAAAAGATATGGTGTACAGGGATATCTATTCTGACACATAGATAATATATTTATGAGTTTGTTTGTATATTAGAATAATTTGTTTTACATTACTGAGCTTTTTAGGGACTTGTGTCTTTTTAAAATTGCATGTTCTATCCGAAAATGTGATAGAATATAGGGTCTTCCATTTCAGAAATTTCAAAGTTAGGTGCCATATTGGTAAATGGCGGCTGAATTTCAAAAAAACTAAATTCATATTTTTAACTGACACAAAAAATAAAGGAATGTCCTTAATTTAAATTTGTCCCTAATTCTTACCGTTTACAATATCCCAATGGTGGCCTCCTTGAGTTGATCACCCTGAACATTGAAATATACACTATTTCATAACAAGAGAAGAAAGTGAGCCATGTGCCATCCTTTTTCCCTCATGTTTTGAACATTACTACTAAACTACACAGACAATTTTTTTTTTAAACAAACATTGGAATATTCTTTTATTACAGTTGGGAGTGTTTAAAAACTAATAGAATTTTTTAGGTCAGAACTTCAAAATTCAAATTTACATTGATTGTACAGTTTTGGTTATTGCAAATTGAAAAGTTGATGAAACAATAACAAATGTTTGTTTGTTTATGTTAGAAAATCCAAAGAAGATAGTAAACATTTCTTTTGCATAGTAAACATTCTTTTTGCGTAGTAAACAATGTAATGATGAATTTTCACAGTGGTAAACATATACAACAAAAAGTTGATTTTACAGTAGTGTGGAAAAATAGTATATTTCATAACAAGAGTAGAAAGTGAGTCATTACATATTTGAGACCATGTTTGAAGTGCGAGATTTATCGAGCACTTTAAATGTTCGAGAATATGTATGTTCGAGACCCACTTTCACTTGTGTTTTGAACGTTACTTTTCGCTACACTACAAAGAATAATTATTTTCTTCATTACAAAACTCATAAAATTTTTTTAGGTTATGCCTTCAATTCGAAGTTAATGTTTACTTTAGTTGTTGAAAATTCAAACAGTTGATAAAACAATAACAAATAGTTGTTTGTTTACGTCAGCAAAATTCAAAAAAAAGATAGTAAATACTAAATATTCTTTTGCCGTAGTAAACAATGTAATGATAGATTTTTACAGGTGATAAACATGCAACAAAAAATGTCATTTTACAGTTGTGTAGGGAAAAGAATATTTTCATTGACTTTTGTCCTTGGCTGTGGGGATATTGTTTAATTTAACTTGATGAATTCATAGTTATCAGGAGATTTAAAAGTTCTCCATAGTCACTACTTATGTACATAACCCTTATTTATTTATGAATAAAATTAATTTGATTTACAGTTTTGCAACGAGCTAAAAGAACTTGATTTCATCACTAATAAATAATAGGGATCTGCGGTGCACCGAAAAAGTCGGTACGGTACGGTACAAGCTTAATTACCGTCATCGGTTCGGTACAACATTTTACACGGTACAAATTCGGTTCGGTACAGCCTATTATAATAATAAATTACTTTCAGTTTACTATCGTAGTTGGTTCCGAGCACATAAAAGTCTTATCATATGTTTGTTTACGATCTTCATAATTTATTACTGGGGTGATGATGCAATAAAAAACCCATTAGCAGTCCCAAATCCATTAACATTTTATCACGACAATAACATTTTATCTCGACAATAATTATTGTATTCAAGTACTTCCAAGAACTGTTGAGTTTTATCACTTTTATATCTTTACGACTTTCACCAATTCTATTTTATCATAAAAATAATAGTTTTATGATGACTGTTAAATGTTATCTCTAACTCAGTCAGTATTTTCGTGAATATTCAATTTGCCGCTGGCATTGCCTACTGCCATAAAACTGTTAGGTGCTACATATTAAACTTGTAACCAATCTAATCTACAATCTTATTTATAAGTTAAAATATTTGTTATAAATATTTTATCTTTCTATTGAGAAACCACAAGCATATTTGTTGTTTGCATAATTTTTTTTCGTTGTTATGCAAGCCTACTCGGTCTCAAATAATGTCATTGCATGTTCTGTATCTTGTCTTACATTGTTAGATGTGGCTGTTTAAGGCTTAAAAATGTTTTTTAGTTTCCTAATTACGCGCTACCCATATAAAATAATGTTAATTTTTTTTTACTTTTTGATTTTTTAATGTTGTAATATTGTTTATAATCAAAAGTTGACACCCACAATGTGTGCCAGAATTTCAACCGTTTTGCCGTATCTCAAGCCGTTTTCGAGATATAAGCGTTTTTAGACAGTTTACGGACTTAGACGATTTTTCATGGTAACTTTTATTTGTAGCCTACCCATATAAAATAATGTTAATTTTTTTTTTACTTTTTGATTTTTTAATGTTGTAATATTGTTTATAATCAAAAGTTGACACCCACTTTGTATACCAGAATTTCAACCGTTTTTCCGTATCTCAAGCCGTTTTCGAGATATAAGCGTTTTTAGACAGTTTACGGACTTAGACGATTTTTCATGGTAACTTTTATTTGTAGCCTACCCATATAAAATAATGTTAAATTTTTTTTTTACTTTTGGTTTTTTAATGTTGTAATATTGTTTATAATCAAAAGTTGACACCCACTTTGTGTACCAGAATTTCAACCGTTTTTCCGTATCTCAAGCCGTTTTCGAGATATAAGCGTTTTTAAACAGTTTTACGGACACTGCCCCAAGAGCCAAGTTCGCGGTCATGGGACTGGGGAATCCCCAGGTGGTGACGTCACCGGGGACGAGTCTATATATAGAAGTGGCATAGTAATGTCAATGTATTATAGTTAAAAATAATGGTTTTAATACAGTTCTGAGAAGAAAACGCAAAAATACGGGTAGCCGCGTACCGTACCGATTATGTACCGAGAACCGAGGTACAAAATATTGTACCGTACCGAACCGTACCGACCTTAAATTTTCTGTACCGCAGACCCCTAATAAATAATCAATATTGTTTAGTGTTTACAAGATACATCAAATTTATTCAAACTCATTTTGAACCCTTTTTGTCATTTTGACAATTTAAATGAAAAAAAAAGTTAGATGCAAACAATCCAAATCAGTTAAGGTTTACCTAAAGTTACAGAAATAGTAGCTTCAAGTATTTTCTTACCTTAAAGTTAGTGGCTGAATTTGAAGACACAATGCTGTTAGTTCGATGATTTTTTATTGGATAGGTGGTGTTATTTGACTTGTCCTTTCCTTTTGTTATTCGGCTGATAAGTGGAAAACATTTTGAATCAGGAGAGTTTTCAATGATTTCCCCATTGATTGTTTCAGATTTTGTTATCCTAGAAACTTTATCTTCTACATTCAACTGCATTTTTTTCATGAATACTTGTTCAGTAGTCTTGCTTTTAGTTATTTTAATAACCGTGCGTTGATTCTTCTGTAAGTTTTCTATCTCTCTTCTGGAAGGCAAGACAGAATTTTGGGCTTTTTCTTTTAAAACTTCATCGTAAGTCTGGTTGAATGTTATGTTAAATACACTTTGTGGTGGTGCGATGATCCCACTGTCATCAACCTTTTTAATGCCATCACTTGTATTCTTGTTTTCATTAACATTGCTTGAAGCAATATCTTCCTCTGCGTCAGGCGGTATGTGAACAGTAGTGTCTACTGTATTGTTTCGGCAAGAGGTAGAAACCTCAAGTTGATTATGCCTCAATGGTAGACCTGTACAACTGACAGCTACATTTTCTTGCTGGTCAGCTGAGAAAACAGAATTTATATTATTTAGATTACTATCAACTAGAGTATTTTTTTGATCGGACAAATCCCAGTTGTGTTTTAAGAAGTATATGTTTTGCTCAGTGTCATAATTGTAGTTTTCATCGCAAATAGGTGGCAGATAGATCCTATATTTCCGGTGTACTTTCCCGTTTAAAGTATTTTCAATGTATTCATCAAAGCTCGGATGTAAATCAATCCAAGACGTAACTAGGTTGGTGTTGATTTGTTGACTATCAACAATATTTCCTAATTCCGAAATTTGTCTTTCCAGTTTATTAGTCAAGGAGTAATATTTTTCTATTTTTTTCTTATCAAAGTCGTCTGTAAATCCTTTGAAACCATCATTTCCGGATTCGTCTGATTTGCTTTCATTTATTGATTCATCATCAGATGATTTATTGCAATTTTGATATTCGTCCCCAGACTTTGCTTCATTTGAAGATTTGTCATCCGATTCATAGTCTTCAATGTTGTTTTTCATAAGTAATTTAATTCTTTTCTTTTCCATGCGTTTCATGTGACGCCTTGCTTTCATTATTTTCTTTATTTCATGAATGTTTTGTGCTATTTTTGGTTTTTTGAATTTTAAGCCGTTAACATCTGATTGTTTAGTGTTCAAACCATCGATCTCATTATTGAACTGTTCTTTTTCGTCAAAACTAATATTTTCTTTTTCTGATGATGAATCGTGAAGTGAGGCAGATGGAATGGCTGAATCGTGCATCTCATTAGTTCCAACATCATTCATATTTGTTTCCGATGAATCAATATCTTCCAGTGAGCTTTTAAGTTTTTCAGATATTTCTTCCTGGTACTCAAGACTAAGCGTATCATCAGCATTTTTTTTGTCTAACATGTTTTCTTGGGGTTTTAAATTTATTTCTTGTTCTCTATTTATAAAAGCTCTGTTTGGTTGTACGATTTGCTGATGTCCTTTTTCTTCTTTAGAGCTATTCAAATCAGAGTCCATGTATTCACTTGAAAAACTTTCAACCATACATGATTTTGGAGAGGCTATTGGACTGTTCTTACTGATATCAAATTTTGAGCCCTTGATTTCTTCAATATTATCTGAAACTGTATTGTCACTGTTAGAAGTTGTCCTTTCACCAAAATCACCTTTAGATTCTTTATGAGTCATTGCAGATCTTGACTTATAACTATTTGACTTATTAGTACTTCCACTGGGGCCACTGCTATCTCTATCAGAAGATCTTCGGTTTTCATCTTTTTCAATAGTATTTTTGCAATGCTTCCTATGCTTTTTCTTGCTTTCGTCTTTGCTATCTTTATCAGATTTTTTGTCTCGAGACCTATGCTTGTCACGAGATTCTTTATGTTTGTGTTCTTTGTCTGATCTGTGATGTTCTGATGAGCTTCGGTGACTATGCCTACTCGAACTATGACTATGTTTATGCTTGTCTTTGCTATGATCTGATCTCCCTCTACTATCACTATGGTTTTCTTTTTGTTCATGTCTGCTTTCTTTCCTGTTTTTTCTGTCTTCTTTATCTCTTTTAGTTCTTTCAGTACTTTTATTTCTTTTCTTTTCCTGGTCTTTTGCTTTTTCCTTTTCACTATGTTTGCTTGAAGACTCGCCTCTCTTTTTATCAGTAACTTTGTGATGTTCCCTCAAGTTTACATCTTTCTCGCTCCTTTTATCAGTATTTTTTTTGTCTTCTGAGTGAAAGTATCTTGTTTTTTCGTTTTGTTCACTTTCAGCCCCTTTGTCTTTGGATTGTAGGTCTGAGCTTTCTTCGTTTTGAATGTGATGGTATATCTCTGAATCTTTAGGACTTGTACTGCTGTTTTCATGCTTGTTGCTTTCCAGCGCTTCAAACATTGAGTCTGGCATATCAAGTGATTTCTCTGTGTAAGAATCATCATTCTCTGGTTCATTATTACTTAGTTCACTTGTTTCATTTTCATTACTGTAATCTTCAAGTTTGAATCGTTTCTTCATAAATGACTCAAATACTGCTGGTTTAATCTCATCACCAGTACTTTCTCCCTCACTGTTAGAGCTACTTGCATCGTCGTAACTGTCATTGTTGAACTTTCTTTTCTGCAAGCCATTGAGAGAATTGTCCTGTTCACTATCTTTAACAAGCTCGTGATTATCAGTCATACTCTGACTTTCAACAACCTCTTCTACATTTCCAACACTTTCTTCTCCAAATTTAGTTTGATATTGCTTGTACTCAGTAATAGAGTTAAATTCAAACACAGTGCCATCTGATTCTTCCGTATTAATTGTAGGTGTTTTAGGCACATATTCATCACTGCTGGAGTCTTCATCTTTCTTGTCACTTTCCTCTTTGATAGCAGATTCGTCATTATCTATTCTTTCCTCTAGATTGTCATCTACAATGGTGGTTACTAATTGGCTATCATTGCTGTTTTCTGAGGTGTCACTTCTCATACCAAGAATTAATGGGTCACCTTCCGAATGTGGCTCAAAGGGTGGTGATTCCTCATCGTCTTCATCTTCTTCTTCTTTATCTTCCAATTCGTCCTCCTGAAAAAATATTTATTTTTAATTACTGCGCCTATAAATAAAGCTAATGAGGATTACAAACTATTATGAAAACCGTAAGCCATACACCTATAACCCGCATATTTAAAATAAAGTCTTGGTTTGAAACTTCCAAGAAAAAATATCAGTTTTTCAATAAAACCTCTCCTAAGGGCACAAACCTCAATTAAAGGACTCTCACATTTAAAATATTGTAGATGCAGCAGCTGTTAGCTTTTTTTATTTATGGTTAGTTTGTTTACTTTTTCCCTAAGTTAATCTTCTGATACTAAATCTATAAGTATAAAAGAGGATGTTTGTATATATATTTGTTTGGCAGTGATAAACTCAGACACCGCTGAACCGATTGCCACGAAACTTGGTACATAAGTGTAGAATTTCATGGAATAGGTTTATACACCATCAATTTCGTGATCCGTCCAATCGCTTCCGCCCCAGTGGCTCTGGAGTTTCCCATGTTAACCTTATGAGAAATGGAATTAATGAATCTTAACAGCTGTTTCAATTAAACAAGTTGGTTCTGTTCTATGATGTTCAATAGCATTAAGGTTACAAGGATTACCAACAGGGTGCAGCACTATTATTTCTTTTACATTTATGACAACAGCTAATTTGCAACCAAAAGGTGAGTGAGCATAGCGAACGAACTTCAACCTGGAGGCGAGTTAGCGTAGCGAACGAACTTCAACCTAAAGGTGAGTGAGCGTAGCGAACGAACTTCAACCAGGACGTGATTGAGCCATGCGAAGGAGATCATCTTGAAAATTAAGAAGTTAAACGGGGCAAAGCCCACGGGTTACAGCTAGTATAATATATTGCAATAAAGTAGGGATGGACGAGATTGAATTTTTGGTTCGGGACGGGACGGGATTTTTTCCTGTACATAAAAAGAAAGTCTTGGGTTTTGCAGTTACCAAACAAGAAAAACAAAGTCAATTTGTGGCACTGATCTACAAAAACCAAAAAATGGGTAAAAATTTACAGGTATAGAAACTTGTGACTCGCGGTCGAAATGACTCACGGTCATGGTGCGATCGTCATTATGACTTCGCGGTCACGGCGTGATCGTCGGTATGACTCCACGGTCACGGAATGATCGTCGGTGTGACTTCGCCGTCACGGCGCGATTGTCGGTATAACTCCACGGTCATGGCATGATCGCCGGTATAACTCGCGGTCTTGGCATGATCGCCGGTATGACTCCACGGTCACGTCATGATCGTCGGTATGACTTCGCGGTCACGGCGCGATCGTCAGTATGACTCGCGGTTACAGCATGATCGTCGGTATGACTCCACGGTCATGGCATGATCGCCGGTATAACTCGCGGTCACGGCATGATCGTCGGTATGACTTGCGGTTACGGCGTGATCGTCGGTATGACTCACGGGCATGGCATGATCGTCAGTATGACTCGCGGTTACGGCATGATCGTCGGTATGACTCACGGGCATGGTATGATCGTCGGTATGACTCCGCGGTCATGGCATGATCGTCGGTATGACTCACGGGCATGGTATGATCGTCGGTATGACTCCGCGGTCATGGCGTGATCGTCGGTATGACTCCGCGGTCACGGCGCGATCGTCGTTATGACTCAGCGGTCACGGCATGATCGTCGGTATGACTCCACGGTCACGGCATGATCGTCGGTATGACTCGCGGTCTTGGCGCGATCGTCGAAATGACTTCGCCTCCTGCGTTCGCGGAACTATCGTGAACATCTCTCGCGATAGCTACGTCATCGTCACTCGCAAAACGACAAAATCACCGACGATCGGATCAAATCCCGTCCCGAAAATCGGGAATATTTTTTTACCGAAAATTTCCCAAAAATTCGGGACCTGTCCATCCCCACAATAATGTTATAGCTTTGATTCTTTCACACAGTTTAATGCAAGTACACAAGACATTTTCATTAAAATAAGCAATAAGTACGATTGAGATTTTCCTGAATAGTTTGCACGGTAAGAGTTAAACTGTTTTTACAGTAGATTTAGAGACCCACATTATTCTCTTAGTATTCTTGCTTCGTTGAAAATCAAAGGCAAAACAACTAGTATATTTGAAGAAACCTAGGCTATTCTTACAAGTCAAATAACTAGTTGCTAAGTTATTATAGGATGTTTTATATTATTTTTGTCAATATGTGGTTGGGAAAAGAATAGGGTAGCCACAGAACACCTAGGAAAAAATTCACAAACCTTTCCCAGTTTTCCAGGCAGCAAAACCTGGTGTTTTTCCTATTCCCGATCACCAAGTATACCTTTAATCTAGGAGTCTGAAAGTCCCCAATATTTTTGGGTTTGGTTCAGCTGACAGTTGGCCCGAGGGATCGTTTTGGGTCAACTATGATTATCAGGCCAAGCTGGGATCGAGTGAGCTGAGCTGAGGGTATTTTTCTGCGATCGTAGAACGCATTTGCGATGATGCGAGATTGATAATTGACGATATATAGTCCCCATCGTTTACCCACGATGGGGCTATATATTCATTGTTTAAGGTTTTGCCATGGTTGTGGGAGACGATGATATAGCCGTGACCTTAAAAAAAAGACGGTAGGCCTATTTATTTCACAATGACTGCAGAAATATTCACAATTTCAATGTAACCATGGAAGATGGCTATTCTATGGCGGATGGAAGGAATACTGTGATCTCTTGTGTGGTAAATTATGTTCTAACGACGAAAAGTCACTCCTATGTGACGGTTATTGTGGGTCTTGGCATCACACTAAATGTGTAAAATTGAGGGTCAAACAATTTTCCGACTTACGAAAGATTGAAAACATTGTTCGCTGGTTTTGTGGGGAGTGTGACACGAAGGTTAAGGACCAAATAGCACAGGTGAATACTAAAGACTTGCTGTTGGAAGAAATATCCGATCTAAAGGTTCACATACAAGTTCTTTTAAAAAATTAGGACTTTCATTAGAAAAGAAACTGAACACACTTATTAATCAATCAAAAAAAGAGCGGGGATTAATCAAATCATAAATTTTAATAAACCAGATGAATATCCAGCACAAACAGGCATATTTGAAAGCAGCTTGTATACAGATCTTGAGAAAAGCATCTTACACTCAAAGCTACCAGTCGTAATAACTGGAGATATTAACGCCAAGTTACCCCAGTGGGAAGATACTAGGCTAGATAGAAGAGGACAGTCAGTAGAACTTTTAGCCAGAAAGGACCTAGTGGCAATAAACAACGGGGGAAAGCCAACTTTTGAACGAGGAGAGGCTAAATCCATCATTGACTTGACAATAGCAAACCAGACCCTGACAAGTGAGATCAGAGATTTGAATGTGTGGGACAAAGAGTCTCTGAGCGACCACAACTACATCTTTCTTAAACATCTTTGTCTACAGTGCTCCACACAACACCTCCAAAATGCTGGACAAGGTAAAACTCAAAAGCCCCAGGACCCAATAGCCATTCATTGTATAAGGTCAAGATATGGTAAAAATCTCACTTCAAACAATCAGGCAACAGTGAAGAACTCAGACCTCAAGAAAATATGCAATGCTGTAATGCCAAAAAGGAAATATGTATTTGTAGCGCAAAGAAAGCCTAGGTGGAACAATGATACAGCGGAGCTCAGGAAAGAATTCCTATTAGCCAGAAGAAAATCTTCAAGATCAAGAGGTGATTTGGAGCTAAGAGAAGAGTATCTTAAGCATAGACTTCTCTTAAAGCGAGAAATTAAGAAAGGCAAGATGTCCCACTGGAAGAAATTGATTGCCGATATTAAGAAGGATACCTGGGGCCTCTCTTACAAGATTGTAACAAAAAAGATAAAAGTACAGGTACATAAACCACAACTTAATGACAAGAAGTGGGTTAGGCAGATAATCTCTGACTTATTCCCAAAAGAGATTCCTACAAGGCAGCCCTTGAAAGAACACGCGATTAGAGAAAACATACGACCTTTAAGATTAAAGGAACTAGAGGAAGAAAAGAAAAAACTGAAGCTGGGGAAAGCGCCAGGACCAGATGGGATTCCTAATGAAGTTGTAAAGATGATACTAGTGGAAACTCCAGGAATCTGGCTGTATCTCTTCAACAAGTCGGTGGTCGTAGGTCGTAGGTCTAGTGCCCAAACCCCCGGGAAAAATCCAAAAAGTTACATTTTCAAATTTTCACAACCCCCCCCCCGAAATTTTGAATTTCCCCCCCCCCATATTATCCTTATGGGAAATAACATTGAAAAATACCGACTTTGGTACGCTTATCTGAACCATCTGTACCATTTAATTGTTTTATGTATTTATTCGTGTCCGTACTGTGTTTATCTTCTGACGATGTTAACAACTGATCAACTCTACACTATGTACCTGAAGCTGACGATGGTGTTTTAACACCGAAACATGTCCTGAATCGACATATTTTATTGAGCTGTGACGGGAATTACGTAAGTAATTTAGTCTTACATTATGTCCAACAGCTCAGGGGCTACACACATGGATTTAAATTATCTGAACCGTTTAGAAACGTGATAGAGCCTTGAAATTTGGTAGTATTGCAGTATGGGATCTTACATTGACGGTGAAATTCATAAAAAAAAACCCAATTTTCAAATTTTAACCCCACCAAAAATCCAAAATGAAGGACCCCTGAAAATTACAAATCACGTTTTTTTTTTTTACGGCTATAGCTCGAAAACGGTAAGAGCTGGAAACGATTTGAGGGAAAATCGTAGGTTCAGAACTAAATTCTCTACAAGACACTATTAAGCTTTTACGGAATTATGACTGTTATTTGAATAAAAGGTTAAATTACCTGTGTCCGCCGGTCGATCCTGTAGAATCCTATTGCAGGATATGCATTTCGGCGATGTTAAATCGCCATCATCAGTCCTTAATATAAGAGCTTGTACTTCCCCATTAGGTGCGTCTTAAAGTTTTGAAAACACGTACACAAATTTTACACATGACGAAACACATAAATACACGGTAGGCCTACTTTTTACTTTTACTGCGGACATAAGATAGACGCGCGTCGGTCGTGTGTCGAGTCTCGACTGGAGTCAGACTTTACTTGCAGAGTTGACCTTTGTCCTGTCTCTGTCCTTTGTAGCTACAGGTGGCGTTTCATTCAACTTTAACAATGCTTCAAATAATATGTTGGATTGTAGTGTACTTTTATCATTCAGAAGGTAGTGGGGGGTGGTTTTTGAGGCTTTGTAAATTTCGTATTGCTCTAATGATGTCATTACTCGACTTTTTCTACAAACGTGTAAAGGTTTTAAATTATCGTTCAAGCTGGAATAACTGTGATTACTATTGACTAGGTGCTCGGCAAAATTGGATTGTTGTGTTAGACTATTTTTGGGAAGGTGTTCTTTAAATCTCTTAATAAATGGTCTGCCAGTCTGTCCAATATAGAACTTATTACAGTCATTGCATGTTATCTTGTACACTCCCGACTTTTCACTCAGGTTTTTATCACTTTGTTGGGCTCTAGGTTTGAGGAGATTTTGGACGTTATTGGATGTTCTAAATGCTACAGTTTTGCCATGTTTTTTTATTTCACTTTTTAGGGTGTGGGGGATCTTTTCTCCATATTCAACTGAGACAAATTCTGTTTTTATTTTAGGCCTTGAATCTGCAGTTTCTGTACAAATTTTCTTTCGTTGTTTGCTAATTAATGTGTCGATTATGTTAGGATTAAACCCATTTTTGACAGCTATATATTTGATGATATTTCTCTCGTTCTCGAAGTTTACGGGGCTAAGTGGTACTGATAGCAATCTATAAACAAAGCTATTGTAAGCTGCCAATTTATGAGCTATAGGGTGGTGGGAGGTTTCGTGGATGGTTGTGTCTGTTGCTGTAGGCTTCCTGTATATGTTAAATGAAATATGTTCTTCGTTCTTTGTTAAAGTTAAATCTAAGAACTTAAGTTTGCTGTCAGCTTCTAACTCAGTGGTGAAACTTAGTTTAGGATGAAAGCTGTTCATGTAGTTGCTGAACATTCTAAATTGCCTGCTATTACCATCATACAATGTCAAGATGTCATCCACATATCTGTAATAAAAAATTATTCTGCTTTTGTACTTGTTTCTCTCGTTTGTCCACAGATATTTGTTTTCTATGTGGTTTAGAAAAACTTCTGCAAGGATACTTGAGAGGGGCGACCCCATCGCAAGTCCTTCATTTTGAGAGTAATACATATTGTCGAACTGGAAATAATTTTGGTTTAGTACGATTCTTAGTAAAGACATTAGTTCATTTATTTCCTCTGTGCTTAAGTTGGATTTATTTTTTAAATTGTCTTGTAGAATTTCTAGTGTTTCACTGACAGGAACGTTGGTGTATAAGCTGCTTATGTCTAATGAAGCTAACGTATATCTTGGGTTCAATTTGATAGTTTTTGTTTTATTGATCAAATCAAAACTATTTTTCAGGCTGTGGCTGTTTTCTAATGTTACATGTGTTTTGACAATGCATTCTAGTTTTTTGGCTAATTTGTAAGCGGGAGCGGGCATGTAGTTAACCAGGGGTCTAATTGGGTTGCCTTCTTTGTGTAGCTTTGGTAGGCCTTTTAGGCGGGGAGCTTGGGGATTTATTGGTTTAAACTCTCTGATCTCCCTGTCATTTAACAAAAGCTTACTGTTGGATAAAGCCTTATTTAACTCTTTGGTGTACTTAGCTGTCGGGTCCTGTGGTAGTTGGTCGATTAGATTGTTATTAATAAAATCCAGAACTTTGTTACTGTATTCTGCTTGGTTCATTATCACTAATGTATTGCCTTTGTCTGCTTTTGTAATGATAAGGTTGTTATCTGTTATCTTTGCTTGGATATTTTTTAGGATTACGTTTTCTTTTTTATATAAGCAATTGTATTTGAGTTTCTTAGGATTTTTTAAGGTCTTTTTCAGTTTGTTATTTACCATTACTCTGACTGTATTCTGATCATTTATATCACTGAGACTTTGAATTGCTGCGTCAGCATTAATAATTTCTGAAAATAGTCCTTTAACGCCTTTTTGAGGCAAATTATACTTGAAGCCTTTGTTTAGCAAATTTATCTCATTAAGATCAAAAACTATGTCAGTGAGGTTAATTGTCCTTGGGTAAAACTTATGGCTAACCGTATTAAGATCAAAGTCGTGTTTTTTATTTAAAAGGGCTTCTAGTTTTTTGTTCAAAACTTTCTTTTTTCTTAGGATGTCTCTGCTAATTTGTGATTCTATTGTAAACAAGATATTATTGAGTTGTGCGGGATGGATAATGTTAAGCATCTCGACGTGAGATTTAAGCAGTAATTTATTCAACATAGACTTTTTGCAGTACTGCTGTTTTATTTCATGTTTTAACCAAGACTGTTCTGCGATTAATTTTGCCTTTTTTGCTGCTAATGAGTTGTTTTTGATTTTCACAGAGATGTACTTAGGAGTGACGTTGTTTTGTACACATTTAGTATTAAACTTAATGTTCTGTATAGTCTTCAAAACTTTTAATTTCAAGTTCTTATATTTGTAAACAACTTTTGCCTGGCTGGCTGACAACTTCATTTTATGTTGTTTGTTGTTCCGGATCGGTTGACAATCAATAAAAGGTTAAATTACCTGTGTCCGCCGGTCGATCCTGTAGAATCCTATTGCTGTTTATTGTCCTAAACTGTTATTTGTTTTAAAATAACACCTGTAATACTTAGCAATTGCTCGAATTTGAGCAACAGGTACACTAGTAATATATTATAATGTAGCAGAAGTTTTAAAAATATTTGATGAAATTGGTAATGTATCAATAATAAAATAAATCGATTCTCGATACCGATACTTAAAATTACAATTCTAAATACCAATACCATTTTTTAAATAGTTTTACAAAGTTTTCTGAATGGATTGGTTATACTACACCAACCCCTGTCTTTATGTCATTCTATTAAGTATTATTGAGGTAGGCTAATAGGGTGTTTTTAAAGTTAAAAAATGAAATATTCTAACTAGCCAATTTTCAAGTTTAAAACCTTCTTGTCACATCAAATAACTACCATATTTAGGGTACTATAGAGGTGTGCCAGGCTGGTATTTTCAGTCCAGCCAAACTCAGTTGCTGAAACATCGTCACTGTTTTTCATGGTCGTGGCAAGATCATGAAAATCTCCTGCAGCCGCGACGCGTAGACATCATCATCTTCCGCGATGGCGGCAAGATCATGATCATCACTCACGGTTGTGTAGACGTCATCATCGTCTCCCGCCATTGCGGCAAAATCATTAACATCTCCCACAGCCATGTATACATCATGAAACTCCCTCACGGAAACGTCTTTGTCGTATTACGCGATTACCACAAAATCATGAAAATCTCTTGCATCCATGTAGTCATCATCATCGTCTCCCGGGATCGCAGTAACGTCATTTTTGTCGTCCGCAATCGTGATCACGGCAAATTCATCTCCTGTGGCCATGTAAACATCATCATTGACTACCACGGTCACAGAAACGTTATCGTCGTCTTGCGCGAATGCGGCAATATCGGTAATTTTCCAGCATTATCAGTGATGTACTGACATTTCACCATCGGTTCTCGGTTCCAGTTCTTTAGCCAAGAACTGGCGGAACCGACATTTGATGTGAAGTACCAACCCATCACTAGTTACAAGTAACAAATTATCGAGAATCCTAAATTTAAAAATTGGTAGAGTAGTAGTTCGGAAATATTATTGAAACAAAACTGAAATGGCTCTTAGCTCAAAACATCAAATAAGGAATAGGCCAACAATAAATCACAATCTTACCCAAATGTATCGAGCTCGGAGCAATCCTGTCAGCTAGTTGATAAAAAATGCTGTTAAATTGCATATAAAGTCTCATTGTATTTTTAATTGACTTAATTCTTGTTTTAAATGAGTTGATAGATTGCCCAAGAAAACTCTTTGTAAAAGAATTAAAATTATTTAGGAATTATCTCTGTATGATTTGTAAACATTACGAACACAGTAGAACGTTAATAATCCAGCCAGATTATTTTATTTATTTACTTTATATAAATTTTAGAGCACTTAACTTAGATATTTTCTCCCTAAGCAAACTAAATTATACAACCACTTGTATTCATTAGGTTTATAGTTGGCGTCTTTCACATATTACAAATCTTTGACAGGGATCTCACCCTTGTACGTTCCATAAACATTTAGTGCAACATTAAAATCATTCTAGTTTTTTCCCTTTTAAAATCTTCACTCCAATAAACAAATAATCAATTCAGATAATGATAAATATAATACCTTTGTCAAGCTTGCAAATAATTAACAAAGTAAAAACTTACATCAACAACAAACTTCTTATCCCCTGTCTCATCGGTGTCAGTGTCTCTTGGTTTCTCTTTAACTGGAGATGGCTTCCTCTCTTCTTGGTCAACAGGCTTCGACGGTTTGAGTATAGGCCCCATCACTGAATTAAACCAACACCATGTTTAGCTTTTGAACCCGCTCGTACTAAAATAACTCTCAGGCTTATTATATTTGTACTATGCCTGATATTAACTTTTGATTGAGTACTGTAAAATTAATATTTTATTAATTTTTCACTATTTTTAATTGTTGTATTTAATGGGTTGACTCCCAGCATATCCACGCGATACATATAAGTTTGTACCACTTTCTCCAATAGTATTAATAGTATACTATACTGTTACATTGCCTTTCCTGTAAAAAAGGGATTGACGTGGACATCAAGAAAAAAAAGTAAAATACTAATTATTAAAAAGCTGTATTAGGTACTGTAACACTGTTAAAATAGCAAAATTAATTTTTTGAAAGACTTAGTTGCTCTTTTTGAAATCAAGAAACATTAATAACAACACAAGTTATGATTAATACTACGGTATAATTAATTAGTAAAAAACACACCCAACTGATTTTATTTAATTTTAACCAGCCTATATGAATATATTAATTTAACTAAAAATTGAAAGAATATAAAACAATAAGCAGAACAGAATATGCTTCTAAAATAAACTCACAAGGAGCCGGCAGTTTTGATCTTGATGCCAAATTATGTTTGTCTTGAAATTTGGATGGTTCAGGGTTTACTTGGGTGGGTGGAGGCTCAAACTTTGGCTTATCATTTTCCATTCCTAAACAACTTTGCACAATCTCTTCAACTTTGGGAAGAAAAACAGTATATATCTTTGGATTTACAACTTGATCCACAATGCGATCCACTCCAATATCAAGAAATCCTCCACTGAAACAAAACGCTACATTAAGAAGAAACTAAATAATCCATATAAATAAAATTACATTCTTGTCACATTGAGTAGAATCATGAATTTTTTGGTTATTTTTACGTTTTATGTCCTAAAAAAGCTGAAATAAGTCTGATCTAAATTTCTGCCTGACTGTTTGTTTTTCATTGTGTCTGTAAAGCAAAAATTCTAATTTACGCGGCCTACTCCAAGAAAACTAGAGTACCGATCATGATTCTTAGTTTAATTGTATTCTGTCAGCAAATCCATAACCAAGTAAAATTAATTACCTTGTGACTTACATAACGGAATTAATTGATCGCAAGTACAATAATGTGTAACTGTTAATGAAAATAAATAAATAGGGATCATTTAGGTTGGAAACCGGTGATTCTACGTGTGACAAACTGTACTTCAGTTTTGATAACCGGAGAAAAGTCTGTAAATCAGTTTTGTTCAGGACTGGGAAACTTACATTTTTAAATCATCGGCGCCGATAGCCTTCATTCGAGGTTTACACTTATTAACGACGTTTCAACGGCTTAGTAAAAATAACAACTAAATTGGGTGATTTTTAGGGACCAACACATCACTATTTATAGCTTGGATATCGTTAGTAGTGCACCTTTCTTACAGTCGTATTAAATTTAATTGATGTCTTACTGTATATGATTTGCGTTTTCTGTCTGGGTTCCAGATGTAAGTTTATGCTTTGAAAATTCTAACACATTTTATTTTTTTTACAAATAATCAAGAATTGTTTACGCTTTACGATGTTTATGTATCAATAGTTTTCAGCCTGTGTATTGTAAATTACCTTAAATTTTATCAAAATCGTCTTTAGTACTTAATTTCATATGTATGCAGTCATTTCGGATCATCTTTGGGATTAAGCAAAGTATAAATTGTTATTACAATCTTCATAACCCCTGTACGATAAGTAAATACGATTATAATACAACTAGGCGAAACCCGTCGAAATCGACGGTTACTTTCAAGGCTTACGCTAATTCATCTAACTGCGATAAATTGAGTGAAATTATACATATTTTGAGCATTTAGCATTGTTTTTTGTGTATTTTGTAAGGCCTCATTATTCTGTTTTATGTGTTGTTTTAAATTATTTTCATAGAAAACCCAATGCAAAATTAAATTGTATACACAGTATAAAATTATATCATATTTGTAATCCAGTTTTAACACAAATGTTCGAACTGTTCCATTGTTATGTTGTGTTTATTCTGTATTTGTTATAACTAGGTGAAACTCGTCGAAATCGACGGTTACTTTCAAGGCTAATTCATCTAACTGCGATAAATTGAGTGAAGTTATACACATTTTGAGCATTTAGCATTGTTTAAAGAGTAATAAGTGTAAAACAATAATGATATTAATTGCGATAGTTACCAAATATGGTTGATCATTCAATGAATAAAATATTTCCCATACCGTACGTCATTGGAGTTATTATTAGTATGGTATCTGGTATCTCTTCCTTTGGAAGAACCTTTAAATAGTATTAAAATCGTATTGGTGGATCTTTTGTAGCTAAACACTTCCGTGATTTCATCTGTGTAATGCAGATTAATTTATGATTTTATTTGAAAAAAAAAATATCTGTTTGTTGGAAAGACACGTTCTAACTTCAAAGGGAGGTATATCCGTTAAGTGTAAGTTTGATTCTTCCTTGGTCACGTTGCGTTAGTTCATATCGTACTTCTGTGCCAATGAATAACCCTCTAGCATAGTTTTGAGAAATTGGTTGTGGGGTTACTGTCAAAGCTAGAATTAATTGACATGGGGGATGTCAGTTAATTGTCTCAGCCTTATCAATTACATAAAGTTGTCAATATAATCTCGCTACGGAATGTTAGGTGTAGTGTAATATACTTGAAGTGAAGTTGGCTTTTATTCTTGAACTGGGGCCTCCTCGTTTATATGGTCGTGCGGCTTCATTGGCAACAAATAATGTAAATAACATAGCAATGTGACATTTCCAAAAAGCAAAAAAATACTGTACATTGGCTACGTAAATATTGACGTTTACATGCATTTTTAATCAACGTATATCTTATGAAGGATGATGTAATCTAGTTTAAAAGGAATATGACCTTTCTGTCAGGACAGTAGCTGCTTAAATAGTATTTACTCATCGTGCTATTTTTTACAGCAAAAATGTCGTGTTATTTTCAATAATGTTACTAACCCAGTGGGCCACGGTCCGTAATATAGGCCACTGCAAATAATTTTTTTAAGATAGGTACCATTTTAGGCAAGGTTTCTGTGTTTGGATGTTGTTAGACACGGTAAGAGCAAAATTAACTTCTTCATCTGCAGATGAATAATCTGTTAGAGAAATATGAGCCGAATTATAAATGTCACAATGCGAGTTTGAACATTTTGTATGGGTAAGTTACAGAGATTTTTTTGGCTGCTGCTCAGTGCACTTTAAGAATATACTAGTGTCCCTGTTGCTCGAATTTGAGCAATTGCTAAGTATTACAGGCGTTATTTTAAAATGAATGACAGTCATAATTTCTGATGACCTTAAAAGATTCGACGCATTCTTTCTATTTCTTCTCCTTGGTGGTGTTCTATGACTTTCCTATGTTTCCAGTTTGCAAATCGGCTCTTTCAATGATTACTAAGACATGCAGCACAGTGTTAATTTAGTTTTCTTTTTAGTATATCAATTTATCCAGGCTCTCTCGCTTTTTTCCATTGTAATATTTACGCCAACCCAAATTCAAATAGTAATCATCATTTATTTCGACCAAGTCTGTAAATGTTTGTAGCAAACTGTTGAAAAAACTTATTGACTGTACAATTAACATATGTTCTTCTTCTCACTTTTAATTTATGACAACAGCTGGAGTTTCATAACAATGTTTGTTTCCATGTTAATCTTATGGAGAAATACGAAACTTTAAAGGGCCCCAGGGCCTCACTCTCTAATTATTTCCCTAAAAAGAAAGTTTCCTGCACAACTTGACGTTACGCTCTTTCCAATGACACCAAAAACATGTCAATTGGTTCAGTAGTTTCGGAGTAGTAATTGTCACAAAAAACCTGCTTGCGTATTAAATAAGTATAATAGATTTTTTATAAATAAATTAAATGGTTTTTGTTGCTGAGCAGAGCTAGTAAACATGCACAACCCCTTTCGTTAGTTTTATAACATTCAAAGGCTCTCTTTGAAGAGTTCAAGTTCTTATTTGTATATATATCTATATTATGTTTTCACTAAGCTGAATGAATACATCAAAGTAACCTCTCTGAAAAGTCTGCAGTATATTGCAGTTTTCCAGCTTAATAACTTTCTAAATCATGCACATATTTATACACAAATATTGTAAAATGTTTGTAACATATATGACAATGATCTCATGAACCTATGATGATCTGTCTAGAATAATATGATAAAATATAAGCAAAAGTGGTGAAAAAGGCAGACACCGACCTGTAAAATAGATATAAGATATTTCAATAATTGTAAGAGTTACTGTGATTAAACGATTTTCCACTGATATCGTAATGGAACGTTGTAGTGCAAAACATGACATGATACAGAAGAAAATCAATTTTAAAATCAGAAAATAACATTGCAAATACTTCTTTTGGACAATTCAGTAACTCCCAATAAAAATGTGTTGTTTGAATTCCAATATTTAAAAATTACCAGCTGTTTTATTAAAAAGTATTATCCACATGGCCAAAATGTAAACAAATCTGTGGAGGGATCTTTAAAGGCTTCTGGGGCAGAGCCCTAAAGCAATTTACTTTGTTTTTCTTTTGATAAATCATCTACAGACCAAGACCTTTCTTTAGACACCTCTACCAGTTTTTACGCCCAGCCGTTCTCTCAAATTAGTGGAGACAAAGTTTCCAATTAAATATTTAGATTCCCCCATGTTAATCTTATGGGAGAGAATCCAACTTTGATGGAAGATCCTGCCCAAACTAATAAAGATTTCAAAAAACGAAAAAGACTTTGCAAAACTACAGATCAGGGCAATTCTTATGACACTTTAATCATCAAAATCGGATGGTGGAATCGTCTGAATTAACTATATAGTGGTTAAAATTACCTTGTTACTGTCAAAACGATCCTTTGTAGTTAGTAAGACTACAGCTGTTTCATGCTACGAATAGAGCACATCATCAGGTCAGAAGAATGTCAAGTAGTCTTCATATTCCTCGCAGTGGAGTTCGTCAAAAGTTTAATAATAAATAGAGAACAAAACACATAACACACGGAAACACGAAACATTTCATATTGGTCGACCAGACGACGGTAACAACACGCGTGATACGGCGCCGGTTGAGGGTGAGTCGCGACTGTCACGTGCCGTCGGCGTTGACCCCTACTCCTACTCCAATGTTATCCTTATCTCGTTCCTTTGTTTTCTGTTTATTGTGTATATGAATAGTGGTGTTGTAGATAATGTTTGATTCGAATGATAATTGTTCATTTAATAAATTCTGTGGTTGTTCTTTTGACGCCTTGTAGATTTCAAACTCCTCAACTCAGGGCCGTCCGAAGGGGGGGGCAACCGGGGCAAGCTGCCCCGGGCGCCGCGGCTGAGGGGGCGCCGCGCAACGGCTATTGGTATTAACCCGAAATTTCGGGAAATTTTCGGGAAAAATCCCGATTATCAGGACATGATTACATTTGATTCGGGATTATTTTGGGACGAGATTTGATCCGATCATCGGCGATTTTGCCGCTTCGCGAGTGACGATGACGCCGCTATCGCGAGTGATGTTCACGGTAATTCCACGAACGCAAGAGGCGAAGTCATTTCGACGATCGCACCGTGACCGCAAGTCATTTGGACGATCGCGCCGTGATCGCGGAGTCATACCGACGATCGCATCGTGACCGCGGAGTCATACAGACAATCGCGCCGTGACCGCTAGTCATATCAACGATTCCGCCGTGACCGCGAGTCATACCGACGATAACGCTGTGACCGCTAGTCATTCCGACGATTCCGCC